CGCGGCCACCCGCTGCAGTCACCCCATGGCCATCCTCCCCCTGTGCCACCCCCTGCAGTCACCCCATGGCCATCCTCACCCTGTGCCACCCCCTGCAGTCACCCCATGGCCATCCTCACCCTGTGCCACCCCCACCATGGCAGATGCCAACCCTGCAGTAGCAGCACATCCCTAAAAGTTCCCTCTTTCTCTCTTGGATCATTTTTTTCTTTCCCTCTGAGGCTCCCAGGCACCATTCCCCAGCCTGGGTACTGGGCTGGGAGAAAGGATAAAAGGAAAGGACTCTGGTGCTGCAGATGAAGCTCTCCAATAACTGTGGGAGCTCCAGTTCTCCTTCCCAGGGTTCTGGGACTTCCCCACTGCTGAAGCCAATTCCTGAACAAGCCAGCAGCAGTTCCTGCCCCTCCAGCCACACCAGACACCTCCTTGGCAAAGCCAACGTCTGTCAACACATCGGGAACACAAACACAGGACAGGGGCTTGGGCTGGAACCACAGTGGCCTTGAGCTGCTTTTCCTTAACTCCCAGTAACAACAAAGGCTTTTTTTCCATGGGAAAGGAGAGGGAGAGGCTGCTGAGCACCACAACAGCCACAGCTGCTCTGGGACAGTCACCACAAACAGCCCCTTGTTTTCCCAGCCCATCCTCCTGCAGTGTCCCTGAGCCTGAGGGGCGGCTTCCTTGCCCTGCAATTCCAAAGGCTGAGCCAACAACAAACCCCAGGATACCCCAAATTCCCCAAAGCACAGGGATCTGCTCCGTGGGAGCTGTGGGGCTGCAGGCACAGCCAGCCCCATCCCCAGAGCAGCCAGTTCCACCCCGGCCTTATCTCAGCAGAGATTAACAAATCCCAGCCCAGGGCTCTGTGTTTTCCTGCTGCTGCCAGGGTCGCAGACACAATGGCCCTGCGTGGCTTTGGGGTGACCCTCGGCCCCCTGGCAGCCTCCCCCTGAGCCTGGCACTGGGCCAGCCCTGCTGGGACCAGGGACAGAGCCCAGGGACAGGGGACAGGGACAGAGCCCAGGGACAGGGGCAGCACAGGGGACAGCACAGCCCAGGGGACAGAACAGAGCCCAGGGGATGTGATGGATGGACCATGGGAGGCCAAAATGTCCTGGTCAGTCACAGGCGACAGAGGGACAGGGCAGCTGATCCCATTCCACCCACAGCGAGCTGCACCTCCCTCCCTGGCATCTCCCCTCCACCCCACATCCCACCCAACAATGAGGAACCTCAGCCATGGCAAATCCTCCCATCCCATCCCATCCCATCCCATCCCATCCCATCCCATCCCATCCCAGGGGTGCAGGGAGCTGCTGGGGAGGTGTGAGTGCAGCTCTTGTCACTGTAACTCACCGTGAACGACTGCCAGTCCTCCCTGGAGTTCCTCCAGAGGACGATGGTGGGGACACCAGGGATGCCGGCAGGGCCAGGGTCACCTGGGGGGCCCGTCCGCCCCATGGCCCCAGGGTATCCCTGAGGAGACAGAGGCAGCTCCTTAAAACCAGCGTGGATTTAGGCTCAGCACAGGCTGGACACAGGCTCAGAGCAGGGTCAGGGTCTGGGCAGGGAGGGCAGCCTGGGTCTGCAGGGCTGGAGGACAAATGTCCCCGCAAGGTGATTTCATGGATGTGAAACGGGGCTGGGATTTGGGACGTTCCGGTGTCCCTCCTCCAGTGAGCTGAGCTGAAGCTGCTCCATCTCCCACTGAGTGCTCCAAGGGAAGGGAGCAGCTTGTGCAGGCAGCTCAGTCACAGAATCCTGGAATATCCTGAGCAGGGAGGGACCCCCAGGATCATCAATTCCAGCTCCCAGCCCTGCCCAGACCCCCCAACATCCCAGCCTGGGCATCCCTGGAGCTCTGGCAGCCTCGGGGCCGTGCCCATTCCCTGGGGAGCCTGGGCAGTGCCAGCAGCCTCTGGGGGAAGAACCTTGCCCTGATGTGCAGCCTGAGCCTGGCCTGGCCCAGCTCCAGCCGTTCCCTGCCTGCTGTCCCTGTCCCAGAGCAGAGAGCGGAGCTGCCCCTCGGGAGGAGCTGCAGCCCCCGGGGAGCTCTGCCCTCAGTCTGCTCCAGCTGAACAATCCCAGTGCCCTCAGCTGCTCCTCATGGGCCCCTCCAGACCCTTCCCATCCTCCTGGCCTTCTCTGAACGCTCTCAAATAACTTAATGTCCTTTTTTATAACCTGGTGCCCAAAACTGCCCCTGAACTCGAGGTGAAATCCTGAGCTTGGGTTTAAAGTACCAACTAAACCCAGTTCCTTCCTCTTCCAAACCCACCCTGGCAGCTTCAGGAGCTCCCACCACCCTCTGGATGAATAAAAACCCCCAAACCAACCCAAACCATGGGTGGTGTTTGCCCCACACCCCACACTGGACGTGTCTCTGTTTTTCTGGGTACTCACTTTGTCTCCTTTGGGTCCCACCAGTCCCCGCCTGCCAGGACAGCCCTGAAAGGCAAAGGAGGAGAGCTGTGACCCCAAAAGGGAGATCCCACAATGATTGAGTGACCAAGCAAGGACTGAAATGGCTGGTTCAGAGCAAACCAGCAGCTCCAAGTCCCCAAGAAATATCCCAAAAACCAGAGTGGGGTGGGAAGAGCCCCCGGGTTTGGCTGCTCCTGCCCTGGCACCTGAACTGTGAGAACATCTCCTGACACAGGGGGAGGACAGGCAGTGTCTTAGCAGAAAAAAAAAAAAAAAAATCCTAAAATTGAATCATATCCACACCCCAATAGGTGTTTGGACAAGGATAAAAATATCTGCTGCTTTTAAGTGGTGGGAGATGTGATCTGGGTAAAAATGCACATTTTGGCCAAGGGCTGACCCCACTTCAGGGCTCAGCAAGGCATCTGTGTGAGCAGGAACAGCCAGGTGGGAGATCCTGGCCTTTTGGGATGCCAACAATTCCCTGTCAGGTGTTACCTGACAGCTTCAGTTCCAGGCACCAGCTTTGTTCTGAGCCCAAGGTCCCCAGATGTGAGCCCACACAGCTCCGTGGCTCAGCTGCCTCTCCCCGGGGCCCCAGAGCCCCCCTGCCCTCCTGGGAGCAGCAGCAGGACAGCAGGGAGGGCTGGGGACACATCCTGTGGCTCTGGCCATGGACCTCACATTGTCATGGATTCATGCAGGACTGAGCTTCTGCCCTACACAGAATCCCAGCCTGGTTTGGGTGGGAAGGGACCTTAAATCCCATCCCATCCACCCCAGCCATGGCAGGGACACCTCCCACCATCCCAGGCTGCTCCAATCCCATCCAACCTGGCCTTGGGCACTGCCAGGGATCCAGGGACACCCTGAGCCAGGGCCTGCCCACCCTCAAAGATTTTTCCTTAATATCCCATCTAAACCTGCTCTTTTTCCATGGAAAGCCATTCCCCTTGTCCTGTCACTCCATGCCCTTAAGAGCCCTTCTCCATCGTTCCTGTCGGCTCCCCAGCTCCTGGAGCTGGCACAGAGCTCTGCTGCCGGTGTTTCCATGCAGGATCCTCAGGACCAAGGACACAAATCCCATCTCCAGCCTTTCTCCAGGAGAGGAAAGCGGTTCTCCCCAGCTGGGTCCCTCCTGCCGGCTGACAGCCGGGCTGTCAAACGTCGTGACGTTTCCTCTGCTCCTGGGATTTTTTCAGCCTCCAGCATCTGTTCCTTTTGCCATTTCCTTCTATTTTTTGCAGGCAAGAGCTGCAGCAGCAAGGAGGTGGCTTGAGGGGGAAGTTAGCAGTCCTAAATTTAAACCAAGCCTGGCTCAGGGATGATGGATTTAGTGCCAGGTCCCTCAAACCATGGAAATGGCCCTGCAGGATCCCACTGAGCCCACAACTTCCACAGGGATGGAAGGAAAAGAGAAGAGAAGGTGCCCAGGGTCACTTCAATGGGGAAATAAAAGGAAATTTTCTAAAGAAATTGTGAAGAAAATGGAACCAAATGAGGGGAATAATTTTAGCAGAATAAACAAACAGAGAAAAATATTTCAAAACATTTTTCATCTACTTCTCAATGAAGACAAGACTCCTCTAAAGCTTTTTCTATTTCAAATTGACATTTTTTTTTACAATTTTCCTTTTTTTTATCCTCAATGAAGACGTGACTCCTCTAAAGCTTTCTCTAGTCTAAATTTACCTTTTTTTTTTTTTTCTACATTTCCCTTTTTTCATCCTCTACAATGAATGATTTGAAAACCAGTCAGAACTTATTACAAGATAAATTCAGCGCTCTGCTTTGAACCAGATGAATTTGGGGGTGGAAAAGCCAAAGCCAGCGATGCCAGTTGTGTCCATGGGTGGATGGCAGGGGTTTGTGTGGGGACTGGAGGAGATGGTTTGGTCCCCTCTGATCCCCTCAGCCTAATTCTGGGCTGGAGCAGTGGGAAATAAAAACCCACAGTGTGATTAAATGATTTGAGACCATTTCTAGAGCAAGGAGGACAAGAGAATCATCTGTTGTCCAGTTTTCAGTGAAGTTTCTCCAGGAATATCAAAAACCTTTTCACAAGGTCAATGCACAGCCCCACTGTGCCTGCACAGGGAGGGTTCCCACCCTGGAGAACTTTCCCCACCCTGGAGAAGTTTCCCATCTGGGGAAGTTTTCCCATCCTGGAGATGTTTCTCCATCCTGGAGAAGTTTTTCCATCCTGGAGAAGTTTCCCCATCCTGGAGAAGTTTGTCCATCCTGGAGAAAATTTCCCACCCTGGAGAAGTTTCTCATCCTGGAGAAGTTTCCCATCCTGGAGAAGTTTCCCATCTGGGGAAGTCTTCCCACCCTGGGGACGTCTCCCCACCCTGGGAAAGGTTTCCCACTCTGGGGAAGGTTTCCCATCCTGGGGAAGGTTTCCCACTCTGGGGAAGGTTTCCCACTCTGGGAAAGGTTTCCCATCCTGGGGAAGGTTTCCCACTCTGGGGAAGGTTTCCCATCCTGGGGAAGGTTTCCCATCCTGGGGAAGGTTTCCCATCCTGGGGAAGGTTTCCCACTCTGGGGAAGGTTTCCCACTCTGGGGAAGGTTTCCCACTCTGGGGAAGGTTTCCCATCCTGGGGAAGGTTTCCCACTCTGGGGAAGGTTTCCCACTCTGGGGAAGGTTTCCCACTCTGGGGAAGGTTTCCCACTCTGGGGAAGGTTTCCCACCCTGGGGAAGGTTTTCCTGTGCAGTTTCTCCTGTCTCACCATCCTTTTCCCACCCTCCCTCCCTCCTCCGCTCACCGGCAGCCCCGGAGGTCCCGGCAGCCCTGGTGGTCCTGGCTTCACACAGCCCTGGTGTGCCAGCCACAATCCAGGATGTCCCGCTCCAGGAGGATTCTCCAGCGCTGCCCCTGCCCTCAGGGAACCTTTGGGGACGTTTCCTTTGGGAGCAGCCCCCCGGTGAGGCGATGGGGACACCTTGGTGAAGGGCTCCAGGCGAGGTTTGCCGGCCGGGAGCCGCCGCCGTGTGCCCGTGTCCCCTGACAGCTTCTCCGTGGTGACGTTCTCCTCCTGGGGCTCCGAGCCATGCTCCTTCTTGGCTGCTCGGGGAGGCTTGATGGAGGCTCCTGGGTGGGTGAAGCACTGTCAGATTCCCAGAAATTGTAATGGAGAAAAAGAAGGAAAATCCTGGACGCACCTGAGCTTCTCCTGAGCACCGGCCTGCCGGGGCCGGTGATTTTATTGTAGGTGGAGTTCAGCAGCTCAAAGCCTTCATCCTCAATGGAAAGGCTGCCCTCCTCCTCCCCCTCAGCTGATGGCATGTCCTGAGCAGAGAGGGAAGGCAGGGCACTCCCATCAGGCTGGAGGTTGAGGGTCCCCTGGGCATCCTCCCATGGCCAAGGTGGCCCCGGCGCCAAATCCGAACTGGTGAGTCTGGAGTCCTGAAAAAGGAGAAGGGGAAAAAAATGAAGTTTGAAGAATTCACTTACTTTTTCCCCCCTTTCCTGCTCGGTGGGCTGCCCAGGGGGGTGGTGGAGTCACCAGCCCTGGGAGTAACCAAGGGACGACTGGACGTGGCACTCAGTGCTGTGCTCTGGGTGACAAGGTGGGAATTGGTCACAGGTTGGACTCGATGACCTTGGAGGTCCTTTCTAACCTTAATGATTCTATAATTCCTCATTTCCCACATGCAGGGGGAATGAGGCAGGGGAAAACTTGGGAGTGCCAGGCAGGGGCCCTCAAATTCTGGGACAGTTCATGGAGAATGAGCAGGAAACTGAATCCACGGACAAACCAAAACTCACCTTCCACAAGGGACACGGGCAGCTCCTGGCACCCAGAGCTGGTGGCACCAGCCCTGCCTGGAACCTGCTCCGAGCTCCAGGGGACACGGGCAGGTCCTGGCACACAGAGCTGGTGGCACCAGGCGGAGGAGCTGCCGAGGAACCGGCTGAGAGGAGGCACTAGAGGGAGATGCAGCCCCACGCTTGCCTTGCAGGGCCGGGAAGGAGACCTGGAGAGCCCTTCCCGTCCTTCAGCCCACATTCCATGGCTGAGCCCAGCGCCTGCTCCGCTCCATTGCCTTGGGAAGCACCAAGGAGGATTTGCAGGAGCAGCCAGCAGGAAAAACAACAATTTCCCTGCTGGAAGGGGCGATCCTTCAGGTGAGAACCCAGCTTGGGATGAGCATGGGAGGCAGAGGAGCTCCAAAGGCAGCAGGAGCTGCTGAAGCTTTGACTCTGCTGCCGTCACCTTGGAGAATTCCAAGCTCTTCCCATCCCAAATGCAGGAGAAAAGTGAAATTTTAGCTTTCTAATTTCCAAACGCTAGGTTTGAAGAGATTCTTTTGTAAACACCTGAAGTGGTTTTGCTCTGTTATGAACATTTATTTTGGGGGTGTCTTGTCTTTTGTCCTTACATCTTTGGAAAAATTCTTTGGAATTTTTTTTGCCATTCATTATAATTCAAGTTTAAATTTAAATTTGAACTCGATGATCTTAGGGATCCTTTCCAAATTAAATGATTTGATTGTACTAAAAGCAGCCCCAGTCCGTGCAGGTGAGCCCCTGCACAGCCACACATCACCCAGGCAAAATCGATTGTGCAGGAAAGCTCTGGCTGGTGTCACTCCCTGCTCACACCCAGATCCAGCCCCACAGGATGTGCCAGCCTGGGAATCCCAGTGGGAAGCCACATCCAGGCCTGGCAGCTGGCACTGGGAGCCTGGAATTCCCACACAGCGAAGAAAAGAGGTTTTTAAATCAACTTCAACACTTGACATGGGAAAGGTCCACACTGGAAACTCCCATCTGGCAAGGCTCAGGGGAAAAGGGTCTCTAAGGAAAAACTACCGAGGCACAAGGCTGAACTACATCGGTTTGTGTAAACACAGCTAAAAGCCAAAATCAATAGAATCCATCCTTGCTCCTCCAAACTGGCCAAATTTAGAGGAGAACCAGCTGAGAGGGACAAATTTGGAACAGCTCCGAAGTTGTCCAGAAGCGTGAGAGTTGAGTGAGACATGTGGGTTTGAACTCCCAGAAATTCCAGCTGGGAAGTGGGGAAGGAGCCCAGATTGGGAGCAGCCATTCAAACAGGAGGGACCAAAAGAAGGAATTGGCACATGACAGGCAAGGCAGGGCCTGTGATTTACAGAAAATGCAGAAAAATGGATTAAAGAAGGAAAATAAAGGCAGGAGGTCTCTGCCCCAGCCATATCTTGGGTCCCCATCGTCACCTGCCAGGTGGCACTGACAGAACCACAGCAGCGACCTGGGAAGAGCTGGAGAATCCCAGTTCTGTCCACACTTGGAAAACCCAGATGACAGAACCAAAGGACAACGAAATACTTCCCATTCCAGAGGGGACAAGGAGCAGAGGTTTCTCAATCTCAGCCCCAGAATTCAACCCCAAAAGCATGAAAACCTCAGGCTCTCCCCAAGATGAGCACTGAATTCTCAGTTTGGCTCGGAGAGCTGGGGAAGCTCCAAGGGACTGACTGGGAAAAGGCTTTGTGTTGTGCCAATATGGAATTTTTTTTTTTTTTTTTTAAAAAAAGGCAAACAGGAAGCTTTGAATAATTACAGCCCTCTTCCCTCAAGCTGAGCCCAAGTAAAATTACAGAACAACTGATATGGGGCTCATTAATAAAGAAACCACAGATATGTAATTAATGCCATGGTTTTGGAAAGAGTTTCTAACTTGGTATCTTGCCTGAGGAGCCTCAGAGTGTTTTATTGACAAAGATAACAATGCTGCTGCACTTCTGGAGGGCTTTTCAGCTGGTACCACACTCCAAAAACTCCTAAATGGCAAAGGGGTTAAAGCCCAGCTTGGAGCATCCCTGTTTTCAGCAGCCCAGACAACCAGCATAACGTTCTGCCCTAATTTTTAGCTGGGTCAGGCTGGCTAAAACAGAATTCAAAGCTCAGGGTCTTCTTCCAGGAAACAGATTTTTTTTTGAAGCCTCTTCCATCCAACAGCCAAAGGTACAATGTGATTCACTCAAGCTCAAGATCAGAGACAGACAATTTTAAACTGTATTTTTTCCCCCAGCACTTTCTAGCATCAAACCCCTAGAAGAGGCTGCAACATAGAAAAAAAAATCAAAAATCAAGGTTGGACTGATTTAAGCTTTGACTGTTTGGTGAATGACTTTAGGATCCCAGGTGAAGCTGCCTGGGAAAAGCCATTCAATTCAGGAACCAGCTCAGCCCTCCTGCTCACATTTAGGACAGGCAGTAAGAGATAACAAAATGCAGGAGAAATGGCTCAACACCATCCATGTCCCAGAGATTGCTCAGAAATGGCAATTTGTTCCTCAAAAACAAAAAACTGCCAGAAGGAATGGGCTGCAGTTCAGGTATCACTGCCAGGAACAAACCCATCTACTGCCTTCCCCCCATTCCATCTTCTCTGCCATCACCCCGAGCCTCCATGATTATTTAGCTCTAATTAACAATTAAGGAATGTACTAATTTACTCCTAAATGAACAAAGGAAAGCAGAGCTGTGGCCTGTCCCTGCTGCAGAGCTGGGCTGCTCCTCATTACTCCCAAACTGCAGCGCCTTTTTTATTCCTAATAAATCTTAATGCCAAAGATTCCAAGGAGTCTCTGCTCCTTATTAAGTGCTTGAAAAACAAACTTGTCCCAGATCCAGAATATTGTTCATTTTCCCCTGCAGACCTGTGAATTTCACCACTTTCCTTGTTATGGCAAGGTCTTGCCAGGGTCTGGAAGAACCCACAGGTGGGAATCACATCCCAGACAGGATCCAGCAGGATGACAGAGCCCACCTTCCATGAGCACCCAGGAAAGGCGAAAGATGAAGCTCAGTTCATTACAAACCCACCCAGCAAACCTGGAGCACCCTGAGCTGCTGAGCCTGGAGCAGAGGGATGGACCTGGCTGCCAAAGGGCCCTTGGCCAGTCCCAGTTTGGAATTTTCCAGGTGTAGCCAGGTGAGAGAAGAGAGACTCTCCCCAAAGAGTTAACGGGAGCCAGGAGGGTGAGGGGAATGAAGAACTCCAACTGCTCAGACACACACACACAAATCTCAATTTGCATTTGCTGGCGGGTTTTCCCCTCAGGATGTGTTTGCACGGACTTGAACAACAAAACCTGGCTAAAAACCCCAGATAAAGCAGGAACATAAAGCCAGCCTGACTCAGAGCACTCCCTCATGTCCCCACAAGAGCTGGGGACACGCTCCCAGCTCCAGCTGGGGGACAGCAGCTCCAGCAAGGAGCTCAGCAGCAGTGGGATTTGGAGCAGCCACCCCTCTCCCAGCACCAGATCCCAGGAAACCACTCCAAGGAGGGCCCCAGAACCACAACCACAGAGAGCTCCAGCCCTTCCCTCCTCCTCAGTGACAGCAGGGAGATCCTGGGAATGCCTCCCCAGGCAGGCATCCCATCCCACTCTAGGCAGGAGCAGTGGTCATCCTGCTTTATCCCAAATCCTGCTGACCTCACCTCCTTCCCTCCAGGCTAATCCAGCCTGGCTCAGCTCCCAGGCAGATCCACAAATCCTCTGGGCAGCCTGCTCCACCTCGTTCCCTGCCCCACCACCACCCCTCTGGCTCCATGCAGACTCTCAGGAAGGTCACCCGAGCTCTCACCATGACCTCCACCAGGTCTGGGACACGGCAAGGTACGCTCAAACCATTAGAGAGAGAGGTTGCAGTAAAGAAAATAACACTGACAGCCAAGAAAATCATAATTAGTGGGTATTTTTGCTTTGCCTTATTGCTTATTAGAGCAACTCCTGTCCCCAGGAGACAGCCTGGGAGTGACAGCACAGGGACACGAGGAAGGACAGTGCAGGAGTCGTACCTGAGCAGGTAAACCCTGGATTTCATTGGTTTCCTTTGGCACCTGGAGAGTTGGAGAGAGAAAAGAGGAAAAATTTCACTGCCCAAGGACCAGCACTGACTTCAGCCTGTGCTTATTGCTGGCTCCAGGAGCGAGGAGCTGCCTCTGCTGGCACAGGAAACATCCAGGGAATGCACAGTGGGAGCCAAACCTTCAGAAACATGAGGGAATGGCTTCTGATCAAACTTCTCAGGGGTCTGGCTGGGTTTTTTCTGTTGATTTAGAAGCTTGTCAGTCCTGAGGAGGGTGAGCAAGGGGTGGGGACTGGGGGGGGATGTGGGACAGAATTACCCCGTGGGGTCCCACCTACAGGCAATTTGATGCTTAAAGTGAAATTTTCTGCTTGGTGGGTGAAACCCCAGAGCCATCCTGGAGCTCAGGACAATGCAGGTTTTATTTTGGGGTGAGCACTCAGCCGCTCCTCTCTTCCCCAGAGCGGGAGGGGACCAGTGTGACCAGTTCTGTGTCACACTCAGCTGCTCCCTCTTCAGCAGGGCTTTCCCAAAAATCCTCCTCTTCAAATAACCAACACAGAGCAGCCTGTGCTGGGAATGCAGCAGCCACTGCAGGGCTGTGCTGGGTGTCACCACTCCCTGTTCCCTGCCCTGCTGGCTCCAGCATCCCAAAGGAATCCCTGGGCAGGAGCCAGGCAGGGCAGGTGCCCATCCCACAGCCAGTTCCCTCCCTTGGCACTGTCCTTGCCTTGTCCCAGCTCCTCACCAGGCCACAGAAATGGGTTGGACACAGGAGGCTCGTGCCGAGCGCTGACATCCAGCACTTGCCTCTCCCCAGCTTTTTCCAGGCTCCCATGAAGGTACCTGGCCTAGGATGTGAGGAATTTCTCTGGGCCACCTCCAGCTCCCGAGGAAAGCCTGGGTGCTTCGTGTTTTGGGGGATTTATGATGTGATCTGGGCTTTATGACTCAATTGAAAATTTGTTGAATGCTGCAATGAAAGCAAAGCCCTCCAAATTTCCATTTTCCAGCAATGCTGTGGGAGCAGAGGGACAACCTCTGTGAGGATGATGTACCAAAGGGTGCAGTGCTGCTGGGAGTGGGCAAGAATTCCGGAGTGGTGTCCAATTCCCAAGGACACCTCCTTTCAGAAGCACAGCTCCAGCTGCAGCATTACTCAGATCTTCCCTGTGCCACACACAGGAGCACATCCAGCCACAGCCATTCCCTGGATCCCAAGCTCTCCCTTTAACTCACTCTCCTTGGCACCAAACCCATCTGTGACTTGAAGGGATGGGAAAGAACCGCCCCCCACCCCCTCATAGCCCATCCCAAACTGGAGACCCCAGCAATTCCAGGCAACGCCCTGGGTTGGGCCTTTCACTGGAATTGTGTGACTCCAAGGAAAAGCTTGGCCCAGCAGTCCCCAGATTTGTCAGCTGTCCCCAGCACACCTCTGGCCAGGCTGTTGGGAGCTCCCACGGGGCCCTGTGGAGGCTGAAGGAGCCTGGGCAGGTTGAGTTGTAGCTGTGGCAGTGCTCGGCAGCGGCTGCTGGGTCTCCCATCACAAAGGTCAGCTGTTGGAGAGCGCCCTGGAAGAGCCACAGAAAGCAGAGTTCAGCCTCCTGCTTCTTCCAGAGGAGAGGGAAAGGTCTGGAAGAGCCTGCAGGGGAGATCATCTCCGGTTCCTCAGAGCCAGAGATTTCTTTACAGGATGGTTTGGGCATTGGACATTCCCTCTCCAGCTTCAAGTGTTGTTGCAAAGATGCCATGGCAGGGACACCTCCCACCATCCCAGGCTGCTCCCAGTCCCATCCAGCCTGGCCTTGGGTACTTCCAGTGATCCAGGGGCAGCCACAGCTGCTGTGGGCACCCTGTGCCAGGGCCTCCCAGGCAACAATTCCTTCCCAATATCCCAGGTAACCCTGCCCTTTGGAAGTCTGAAGCCTTTGGCCACACTGCCCCAACCAGATCTTTCCATGCTGACTGCACACAGACTTCTCCTCACGGTCCAGGTCATGGCCAATGCCAGAGGATGAAGTCAGACCCAGAGGTGACCTGACTGCTGCCCCTTGTGCTGCCCTGATCCAAACCCAAGCACAATCCCAAGCCTTTGCTAAGTTCATCCTGCCCAAGCATGAAAATAAATAAATGTTTTTTGGGAAGAGAAGGCGAAGGAAATGGATTCCACCAGGGGGAACTTGGAACCTCATTCACACAGGTAGAGCAGCCCCTGCCAGCTCTCACCTTAAAGGGGATCTCGAAGGACTCAATGAGGCCTCCGATGATGATCAGACCTTCAGTGTTCACCCCCATCCCAAAATAGTTGGACCAGCTCACTCTGTCCACCAGCCTGCAGTCCACGTGCAATTCCAGCCTCTCCAGGGAGATGCTGAGAGCCACTCGGTGCCAGTGCCCATCGCCCAGGAAGGACACTGGGAACCTGAGGGAAAGGGAGGAGGCACAACGGGAAACTTCATCCCACACCTTGTCCAGGCTTTATCCCTTAGCAGCTGCCAGGGTCGCTCAGGTATCCATCCTCTGACACAAGGAACAAGATGAGAGTTGTTACAACATCATCACTTGTTTTCCATGGATTGGGGGATGTCTACAACCACTCGAGGCATCTGAGAAATGGCTGGGTTTTGATTTATGCCCAGGGATCTGAACCTTTTTGTTCTTTGATTTGTTTTCCAGAGCTGCGTCATTTTGGCAGAGTGGAGTTCGGCAGTGATGACCAGCACCAGGTCTGAGGGACATCACCTTCCTTCAGCTGAGGTGAGCTCAGCACTGCCCAAAGCCCAGCAGAGAGGGAAACCCCAACCCTTGGCCTTGGGAGGAGAAAAGGAAGGATGGCAAAGCAGGAAAACAGCACCTGGGCTGGGACTTACTCGTAGTGTCTCCTCCTCGTGGTGACGAAGACCAGGGCGTAGGGGTTAATCCTGATCTGGAAGACCACGTGGCTGCGGTGGCTGAGGATGGTCACCAGGCTGGTGTCCTCCTTCAGGGAGTACCTGAGCTTCAGCAGCACGCTCAGCTCATCTGCAAACCTGGTGGGAAGAGGGGACACGTGGCACTGTGCAGCTGCTGCTGTGTCACCATCAAATGACCTCTCAGGGTAAAAAAATTCACGGCACAAAAGAACTGAGTGAGAAGGAAAACCAAAGGGGGAAAGAAGCCAGCAATTGTTCCAGTTGAGAGGTTCAAAGAGAAGCAGCCAGGCCTAAATTAGCATTGCCCACACAGCCTCAGCAGGGGGTGATGGGGCCATGCCAAGGTGTCCTTCCTGCACCCAACCAGGAATGATCAAAGAACCCCAGAACGATTTGGGTTGGAGGAAACCTTCAAGCTCATCTCATCCCACCCCCTGCCACGGGCAGGGACACCTTCCACTATCCCAGGCTGCTCCAAGTCCTGTCCAACCCGGCCTTGGATGCTTCCAGGGACAGGACAAACTGTTCCAAAATGCAAGAGATGAAGGAACCCCTGAGCTCAGAGCAGCTGAGTTATCTCCATGTCATCATGGAATGGGCTCTCCAAGGAACTCCTCAAACCAACAGCCACACCTCAGATGATTTTTGAGCCTCACCACCCCATTCCCACCCCCCAAGGGAGGTTACCTGTCCCCAAAAGCCGCCCTGGTGGGGATGTTGAGGGTCGCGTATTGCCCGATCTCCAGGATCCTGCACTTGCTGTGGTCATAGCCAAAGGAAACATTGCTGAGGTCCTGGGCATGAAGAGTGATTTTGTCCAGCAGGTTCACCTCATCTGCTTTGGGGGAGAAGAGAGAGGCGCTGAGCAGGCTGAGAAACCTCCAGTACAGGAGGCAGAAGCTGTGTGGAACCCAGGCTGCAGTGAGGTGTAAAATCCATCCAAGGGGCAGAGACAGGACACAGAGCAAAAGAAGATAAATTCCATCCAGGGAAGGTCCATGGCCCACCCAGGAGCCAAAGACTCCCTCCCAGAACTCAGGACAGGACTAGCACAGGGCTGGGCTTAAATGGGTCTGCTGGGATGAGCTGGGGGTCCCAGGACAGGCTGGTTGGGGTCATTAAGGCCCATTAGTGCTGTTAGGAATCAGATGGGTTTCAATAGTCCCATTGAACAAAACCCCATCCCATCCCATCCCATGGTGTTCCCTGAGGGGCACCCCCAGCTGCAGACACACAAAAGTGACCACCCATGTTCTCCTCTGGTTTGTTTTGATGTGTGAAACTTACACTGAGCTTTATGGTCTCCCAAAAAGAGGGAAATGAGGGAAAATTGTATTAAATGGCCAAAACCTGGTGCCTTGGAGAGCTCCTAACAGGGTCTGTCAGGCTGAGTCACTTCCCCTGGATGTGGCACTGGTTGGAACCTGAAATAACAGGGCTGGCCAAGCCCAGGGGACAGCCCTGGCAGGGGAATGGAGCCTGTGACCTAATGGGCCTTTCCTCCCTCTAATTCCTGAGTGCCTGATGGAAATGTCCTGCCAGGACTCTGCTTAGGATCACTCCAAACTCTGAATCAGAGTGGCTGGGACATCACAGCTCCAGAATTTAATCAGGAAAGCTCCCTGCATTAAGTGATGGAAAAGCAGGGCTCCATCCTGGGGCCTCACACCCGTGACACTATCATCAAGCACACCAGTGCTCCTCCACCTCCCCCTGACATCCCACAGCCCACTGCCCTTTGCCCCTGGAAAGATGTTGGAGGTGGTGCCTGACTTTTTCCTGGAGCAAGGGCAGCAAAAATGGCAACTTCCCACTTGTTTGGGGTTGCCTGGCTCTGCATGTGGGGTGGGCAAGCTCAAGGACACCTTGACATGAAGTTTTTTGCAGGCAGCTCCTCCTGCTTCTCCTTCCATCCCAGAATTTCTGATGCCCACGGCAGCCACCGTGGCACTGCCAGTGCCACATCCATTCCCTGCTGCTCCCATTTCCCTCCCCATCCAACCATCCCTTTCTAAAGGCACCTCCAGAAGGCACCCGAGGTGAGCTTTGAGCTGCAGTGCTCACAGCTCCCAGGGCTGGTTATGCAACAGGATTCCAACCTTCTCCTCCCTGCTCCGGAGAGCAGGGATAATTTGGGTTTGACCCCGTGGCTGCAAGTCCAGGGGGGACAGAGCCAAAGCAGGAAGAAAAGGAACAAGGACATTTCCCACGGAGGACGCTGGACCCATTATGGAAGAGTGAATGCAGCCACCCACCCACGGAGAGGACAGCAAATTCCAGGGAAGCGAAACCTTTTCGGAAGAAAGAGCTCAGCTGCACGCATTGTCTGGACAGGAAAAACGGGAGCACAGGTTCTCCTGGAGCTCATTACCCGGAGCTGCAGCTGTGCTGCCGCTCCTTTGTGCCCGCCCAGCACGGGGGGCTCTGCGGGGTGGGGATGGGGCTTTTGGGGACAAAGCCTGGGCAGGAGGAAGGTCTGCTGGAAGGCAGGATGACCCCAAATAAGGATAAGCTGGCTGCAGGGAAAAGTAGGGCAAGTGGCAGAAAAGGAAGAGAGCTTTGGGAGCAGGGAAGAGTTTCGGAGATGCTAAAGCCACGGAGTGGGCACAGGGGTGTGGAAGGGGCAGCTCAGCCTTCAGCTTTATCCTCTTGAGGGAAAATCCCAACTCTTCAAGCCAGGAGCCAGCATAAAAGTCTCATCCCATTAACTGAGGGGGAGAGGTCTCAGTGGTTGTCTGCTGCCCTTGAGGGGACGTGGAAAGGGTTTGGGACATGGAGCAAATCGATATCCTGGAAGCTGAGCGAGGACACCCTTCTGAAGGAGGTGCTGGGAAGGGTAGGGAGGCTCACAAGGTCCAGCTGCTCTGCAGGGCTTAGTGGCCTCACTTGATTTGGGGTTTTTTAATAGGAAACTAAAAAAGAAGCCATTTCCAACCTTTCCAAGACGTGCTGAGAGGTCACAGAATCATGATGTAGTGCAGACAGTTGGAAAGGACCTTTAAAGGTCACCTCATCCAATCCCCCAGAGCTCTCAGAGCTCCTCATCCACCTCCTTCTTAAGCAACCCTGAGAGTTAACCCCACCCAGAGCTCCTGGTCCCTGGGGAGGTGCTCTGGTGTCACCCCAGCCTTGCCCAGTCCTCATCCACACCTTGGTGTACCTTCCATCCCCTGTTCTCCTCGCTTTCCCTCCAGATCCCCCTTCCTCTGCTCTGTGCATTCACCTCCTGCCCCTCCTGGAGCACTGACAGCTCCTGGGCTGAGCTCAAACCTTCACTTATCTCAAGTTAAATGATGTTTTATCCACATTCAGGCCTTAAAAGCTTTAGCTGGAGGGGCATTTTTACATGGTTTTCATTTAAATCCCCGCACAACCGCTCCTCAGCCTGTTCAAGTTGGCCTCACAGCAATGAAATTAATTACTGAATTACAGGGTGTCAGCATTGGAATTGGTGTACAATGCCTATCCAGTGGATTCAGTGGGATTCCTTTAAAATAAATTAAAAACATCCCAATAAAATCTGTGTGACACTGAGTGGGGACAAGCACCATAAATATTGGCCCTCGCTGTCACTTGTAAATAAACTTCTCTTTATTGCTCCATTGTCAAAGAAAATTAACAGCAAATTCTCCAGTCTCTCCCACTCCAGGGACTCATTTCCAGCACCAGCTTTCCAAGAACCTCCCTCTCTGTGGTTTTACAAAACAAAACCTCATGTTTTATAGGGTTGGAAGACAAACAGAAATAAACACCAAAGCCATGAAGGGATGATCCCAAAAACCTGCTCTGGGTGGGATGGACACCCCAGGCTGGGAAGAACACCCAGCCAGGGTTTGTAGCCCTGATTTTCATCATTCTGATCACTGAATACCAGAATAATTTAAATTGGAAAAGACTTCCAGGATCATCGAGTGTGAGCTGTGCCTGGTCCCCACCTTGTCCCAAGCCCAGAGCTCCGAGTGCCACCGCTGAGCTCTTGCTGAGGGTTGTGAACACAAACTTTGCCTTTGGATCAGCAAATCCTTGGCCTGCAGAGAGCTGGGAGGAACCATCAGGAGAGACTCGCTCCGTTCCTGCTCCTCTCCTCTCTGCCCTGGAGCCAGGGCTGGGGGCTGGAGGCACCTCCTGGTGGTCCTCACCTTGGAGTCTTTCAAATCCAGGCAATTCCTGGGAGTTTTGGGGGTTGGTTGTGCTGGGGCTGGGGACAAGGTGGGGATCAGGCATCAAGGTTGGACTTGATAATCTTGGAGGTCTTCTCCAACCTAAATGATCCTGGGATTCTAAACTGGCTGTGGTTTTATTCACACAAAACCAGAGTGTGTTTTCCCTAACCTGGCTGGTTCCCTAATCCAGCAGATCCACCTGGCAGGAGCCCTCAGCTGAAACAGAGAGGCTCAGAGCAACCTCCAGATGAGCCAGAGGCTTCAGGCAGGCAGAAATCAGAGAATGCCCTGGGAAGGTTTGGCTCAGGCCCTCTGGCTGAGGGAACACCGAGTTATCCTGCCAGGAGAAGCTGGAGGACGGGCAGAAATCCCACCTGGAATTTCCTGTGCCCTTGGCCTCGTGCCCTCAGCTCCTTCACACACCCTGGACCCAGCTCAGAGCTGCCAAACGCCCACTCAGGTCTGCTTGGACACAAACTCACAGGTTTAGGGGAGATTAGAGGTCAGAGAAGCAAGCTGAGAGGATTTAACAACAAAGCCTGCGGTGAGCAGGACCCCAGAGCTGGCGATGGGAGATCCAGAAACCCCTCAGGGGCAGGATGGCAGCTGCTTTCACATTGTCCCTTTAAAGGATGGCCACAGGTCAGTGCAGGGCTGATTTTAGCTAAAATTCAGCCACTTCACGCTGCAGTCTCCACTTTGGGGACGCTGACATTCCCTGAGGAGGACCAAGGCCTTGTGCTGAGGGACAGGGGACAGACGGATGCTGCTCCTGGGAGCCCACGGGGGAGCTGGACCTGCCTGAGCTGAGCTTTGCACCCACAAGTGCCTCCCCCAGCTCCTGTCACTCCTTGTCACCCCAAATTAGCACCAGTGAACTTTATTGGAGGGGGGGTTTTGAGTGCAGGGCAGCAAATCCCCCGGTGCCTCACAGGGATCCAGTTCTGCTTCTTTGCTTCAGGAGCTGCTGCTCCAAGGGTCAGCGCTCAGCCTCGGACCTGGCATTAAAATTTTGGACCTGGAGATTTCGTTTGGCTCCTGGGAATCATTTTCCCTGAGGGAAGAGCAGGAACAGAGCAGGGGTGAGAGGAGGAGGCAGCAGAACCTCATTGGCATTGGCCCAGCACGGCCTAGGCCTGAGCAGGGCAGCAGCAACAGCCCCGGCCTCCCCCTCCTGCTCCCTTCAACACAGCTCCCAAGAATTAAAAAAAATAAATGCAGAAGGAGTGTTTCCCAGCCTAACCAGCTGCCATCTCACAGCCAAACTGCGCTCAGGTTTTCACCCCAGGCAAAACATGTGTGCATTTGTGACTCACTCCACGCCCGGCGGCTGCCAGGTTTCTGTACAAACGATTGAATTGTTGCGGTTTCAACCTTGACTCAACTCCCAAATGCTCCTCCAAGCTCCTTTGACAGAGCTCATCACCTCCCACCTCTCCCCCACCGCTGGTATTTTTACACCCAAATTATCTTTGGGTGCCTGGGAGCCTTCAGAATCCCCGACGAGCTGCTCCAAGCCAGGAGCTGCTGCTTCCCCGGGTGTGGGAGTCACTGAGAGCCCCAACCAAAAGATTTCTTCTTGTTAAACTCCCTTCACCAGCTCAGGTCGAGCCCACAATGCTGGAATGATGCTCAGGGCAAATAAACATAAACCAGGATTTTATTCACATGCAGA